AATACAAAAATAAAGTGTTTGTATTTTTTTTCTTTACGCATATATTCCTCAAGGAAAGAACTTCTAGTTCCCAATGGATCTCTTGCGTCCAATACATATAGGACCACATCAGAACTATCAATTACCTTGTAAAGCTCATTCCAAATACGATTGGATTGACCTTTTTTAAATAAAATCCTATTTTTGGAACGATCATCACGTAAATTCTCTTCTTTATTAATAAGATTTCGATCGACTCCCTTCTTCTCAGTCAAATACTCCTCGCCTTTCGATACGGCCCTATTTGCAAACCCCTCCATATCAATGGTATCCAGACGAACGCGCTTTCGATTGGCCTTCGCTCCAAAGGTTTTTTCCCACTCCATCTGCTGACGAACACTGCCCTCATTCATCCCGCTTGATTCAAGAAGACTCAGTGGGAGCTTAGATTGCTTAATAACAATACTGTAAGGATCTCTGTATTTTGCACCCATTTCCTTCAAAAAATTCTGCAAGGCTTCCTGACCAATAACTCTAGTGTTACCAAACCACCGACGATCAGGTGCAACACGAACCATTTGCTGTTCAACACGATCGGATGCCTGCAAGACACTCCCCTTCACAATATTACCTTTTTCATCACGTAAAAGCTTGGACTTATACATTTTTAATCGTTTAATTGTCCTCTGGTCTCGCAAACTAGTTTTGTTGGCATCGACACGACGATTGACATTGGTAGGCGGGAGCAATCCCTTTCCAGCCTTTTTCCCGGGTTTGCCCATATTGTTCCTTTCCCTTGTTAGGCTTTTCTCCGTATCACTTAACTTTTTCTGTGTAAACGTGTATGTATTTCAATCAAAGGAGGATTAAATGTGAACCGGCATAAAAAACTTCAGGAAGGTGGTCCACTGTGAATCCCATGTATGGGGGCAGCCGCATAAATAAATAAATAAACAAATAAATAAATAAATAAATAAATAGATAAATAATAATAAGGCGGTGCGCTTTCAGCATATCTCTAAATTATTTTACTTCCTCACAACCGGTTCAATGGCTTCATTCAGCCAAGGATACCGTGTGGTCACGTTTTCAATATCCTCTTGGTTCGGTTGCACATTAGATGGAAGCCCCATTATCTTGTGAATGAGTTCTGCATCGTCCTCACTGCGGAACTTACAGCTGAGTCCAACACAAAGAAAGCAATGCAAACCCTTCATATTAAACTTTTCTGCTGCGTTTACGGTCTGTAGATAGTGTCCAATGTTTAGTTCACTGGTAAGGCGAGAAACAAAAAAGCCATTGTCCCACTTGTTTTTCAGGACGTGGAGAATATTTCTGTAAATACATGGTCTTACAATTTCACTTTCGGCAAAGCCGTCAATACCATAGTGTTCTGTCCAGCAGACAAGATTTTCAAGAACGGCTGCGGGGTACTCAAATTCAGGAATCATTTCTTCTTTGACTTTCTCAATAAAGGGGCATTTATCCGCAACCGCCTTTGGCACTTCCACGTATTTTCCATCGCTGCAATGAACGATCGTGTGCATGGTACGGTCAACATTGGTTGTGTTGTACAGAATACGTGCACAAGATGTAAAAGAAGCCATTTTGTTTTTAAATTAAAATCTTTGCTTCTTAAAGAAATAATAGTAAAAATAGCGATCAAATAAAACAACAACAATAGCAAACAAACAAACAAACGAACATACAAATTATATATGAACAGCGAAAATTTTCAATACAATAAGCGGAAATAATTCAACGTTTTTTTCCAGAGAAAAGAAAAAAAAACGCGCCAAAACAAACAACAAAAAACGCGGAGCACCAATACGGGTAAAAGCCCCAAGATCCCACCAAAAGACGTTCGCGATCAGCCATCCTACCGCCCTAAAAGCTGTCACCCGAAGCCGCAACCCGCCACGGAATATTCCCCCTTCCAAAATTTCCTTCAGCGCCGGCTCCTCACTCAAACAACCGCTCCAAAAGCGAGAGAACGCGGGCCGCGTTGGGGTCGGGCCGGGCTCCCCGTTTCCTTCGCTCGTCGCGGGCGCGCGCGCTCGTTTCGCGGCGGCGCCTCGGTTTTGCCGAGCGTCGGGGCCCGGAGGACCCGAAAGGACCGACTCCAGCACACACACCGCCCACACACAGACTTGTATGCTCTCACGTGTTGCTGCAGTGATGGGAACCCGCACACACAACCGTCGCCGCGTGACCGGATCCAGCGGAAGGAGGAGGGAAGGAGGAGAGAGTGAGCCGCAGAGGCTCAACATGTCCCGGCATCTTTTTTATTCTGCCGTTCTGGTGCTTCTTGTTGTGTTGGTTTGCTGCGGCGGTGGGGCTGCACACGCTGTGGGGAGTGTGTCATGGTGAGTGCGGCTGCTGCAATGTGCCGAAATTTTTGTGCTGCAGGAGACGCCGGTGAAACCAAAAGATGGGTCTGAAAGTAATGTGAAGGATTGTTTTGTTTCACCCTCTCTCGTCGGTGCTGGTGGGGTAATGACTGTGCTTGCTGAGGGTGCTTTGGCGCGTTGCCCAACAAAACAGGTTTATCCAGCTGACTTTGTTGCGGGGTACGCCAACCCTGCGTGGGGTTTTTCTTCTCTTGTCGCTGAGGCCATTAAGGATGCGTAGAGGACGCACACGGTGTTGAGTACAGTGAATGAAACGGGACGTGTGGATGTTGCGCGCCAACCCACAGCCACTGCGAAGGACAAGAGGGCGTTTCCACTTGTGGGAATCTATGAATAAAAGTATTACGATGCTAAGAAGAGTTGGAACGTAATTGACTCAGATATTCGACTGGTTGTGGGTGAGGCCACTCGTTCCGGGGACGGCGGGCCGAGTGAACCGATCAACTGGGGTGAACCCAAATTGCTGTTAAAAAGAGGATTCCACGGACTAAAAGAGAAGCGAAGGAGCGTTTCCCCACTGCTGGCGCCGGTGTTTTCATGGAGGATGGCATGCTTGTGTTTCCTTTTGCGGCAAGGAATGACAAGCGTGAATTTGTCTCCATTAACATTTATTCGACGGACAACGACAATAACTGGGTGCTCCTAGAAGGCATTTCCTTTGCGGAATGCCTTGACTCTCACACCACCGAATGGGAGGGATCACCTTTCATGGTTGCTCTTTTTTAGAGTGGCCGCAAGTTGTACGAGTTGCATGACATGAGGAACACGTGGACGGGGGCTGTCAGAATACTCCCAGGCGTGTGGGTCAAGTCACGAACAGGAGTCTCTTGGGACATGAGCCTGCGTGTGGAAGCCCTTACCGCCGCGAAAATTGAGGAAGGGAAACTAATGCTGTACACCCAGAGAGGGTAGCTCTCGGGGGAGAAAAGAGCCAATGCGCTCTAACTTTTTTTTACGGACAACAACCACACGTTTCATGTTGGATTGTTTTTTGTGGAGGATGATGTGGGTCAAGCGTTTGCTAACACCCCGCTGTGCTTGGATGGTGCGTTGCACCCTTCGCAGTATGCGGTTATTGGAGCAAGCAGGACCATTTCACTTTCTCGCCTGATGGAGGATCTGCAGACGAACAGGTCCGCCCTCAGTACTTGGGCACAGCTGGATGCCTCCTTCTCAGAGTCGTTCACACCCACGGCGGGTCTGGTTGGACTCTTATCCAATGCAGCCAGTGGTGACGGGACGTGAATTGACGATTACCTTTGCATTCACGAGGCCTGGGTCCGGGGCAACGTGGCCCGTAAACAGCCGGGAGAGAACTGGACTGTACGCTTCTGTAAACCGCGATTTCACTCTTGTGGCGGCGGTGGTCATACAAAATTTTCCGAGGTTGAGCACTTCTCTGCTGGGTGCGGTGCTGGCCTCACCGGTCAGCACGAACTTCATTGGGCTGTCGCACAGCACTGAGGGTAAGTGGGAGATAGTGTTTGACGGCAATAAAACTGCACATGGCAGAACTTGGGAGCTGGGGAAAGAATACCAGGTGGCGCCGATGGTGCAGGGCGGCAACAAGGAGCTCCGTGTGCGTGGATGGCCGGCTTGTGGGGAGCTTGGAAACGAGACCAACACCTGAGGTGCGGGGGGCTGAAGTCTCGCACTTCTACATTGGGGGAGGCGAAGACGACAGCGACAGCAGTATGACGATGACGAAGGTCTTTCTGTGCGACCGCCCACTGAGTGCCGATGAACTAAAAATGGTCAAGAAGAGCGACGCCACAAAAGGTAATGGTGACGACTCCATGCGTGGGGGCGTGTCTCGGGTGCTGCTGCTGCTGGGGCTGTGGGGCATTGCGACCCTTTACTGAGAGGTCGGAGCGAGGAGTCCCTGCCACCAGTGGGAAAATATGTGTCACTGTACGCACCCTCCGAAATAATTGACGTTTTGCGTGGACGCACCCTTTATTTTATCTGTTTCTATCTCTGGTTTGACTATCTCATCCTGCCCGTGTAAGTCTTTACGAAGGATGTGCTCTCCCTCCGGGGACCGCACCGCATGGCATTTGTTTTTGTTTATATATATATATATATATATATAGTGTAACTTTTTGAGACTGTTGGGATGTCTTTAATGTTTCCGTATGTTGATGACACGTGCACTCGGCATTGAGCGCCGCGACGATGGAGCGATGGAAAAAGGGGGGCTAGATGTGCAGCAACGCACTGAGTGTCCCAATGAAATGTAAGTGTTGTGTGGACACCAGATGGTTGAAAGGCTGAAGCAAATATATTCTTACTTTTGCGGAAAGAATATACAAGCATTTTTTTTTGCTTTTTCCGCGTTACTGTGTTATTTTTTGTGGACCTGAAAACTTTTCCAAAGCGATTTCTTTTTTTTAACTTTTTTTGTTTTAAATATGATTTTTATTTTCAGCAAGCGTATTTTGGGTTGCCGCTGGTTGGGCTGCCGTGCTATGCTGAGCCTTATTGGACTTCTCCCTCTTTTTTTTTCCGTCATGCACCTCTGTTGCGTGTTTTTTTGTGCTTCTTCACGTGCGTGGCTCTCTTTTTTTCCCTTATTTCTTTGCGTGTCAGCAGGCACACAACCGCATGGTGTACATGTTGCGGTGCAGTTGTATGCTTCTCCTGCACTCGGTGGCGGAAGCGGCGTGTGGATGCTGCTGGATCACTCCGTGGCAATGAAGAGAAGGAAGGGAGTGACAGTGAGAGTGCGTCGTGGCTCTCGTCTTCTGTGGAAATGCTGAACGGCATTTGGCGGCGTTGTTTTGAGGCACCGCACCATCACGCACGAGGACATGGCACGGAGCGGAAGACTTCTTCTTTTTTGTGTGTGTCTGCTGCTGTGGGTGTGGGTGCGTTTGCGCCAGACTCGTCGGTACGATGGCCGCAGCGTGTGGCTGCCACTCTGTTCTCTTGGGAAATATGCTGCCACGTTTTCACTTGTGTGTTGTTTCGGGGACAATGTGCTGGCAGCTGTGCGATTGCCGGGTGGATGGAGAGGAGCGGAGGGAAGTGCGTGAGCGCCGCGGTCAAGAGTCGCGCTGGGTTTCTCGCCGCGGAGGGCATTTCCCACCAAACCCAGCACCGCTTCTGCCGGGCACACTCTATCACACTGCAGCATCCTAGTCGACGCCAGCAGCACGCGGCGAGGCAGCGGATGCCGCCACCGCCACGAGTGCGACCGGAAGGGACACGCCTGCTGTTGCGTTTCGAGGGGGCACTCCGTGTGGCACAGTGGCGTGCCCAAAAACCTCCTTGTGGAGTCCGCACACGACACCGGGCACTGGCCGCGGAGCGTTTGCGTCAAATAGGACACTTTGTTGGGGTGCCTCCTTTCAGATGGAAGGACGCCTGAT